AACCTTTTTTTTTTTTTTTTTTTTAAATAAACTACGGCATTTTCGCCCCATTTTCGTTTTATATGTTGAATAAAAGATTTATATCTTATTCGAAACGAATGTTGTTTCCCTAGATCAAATCGAACTGGTGAACGCGCAGCAAACTTGCCGTGGAAGATGTAAAAATAGTGTGACATACAATTTTACAACTTCGATGCCACCCACGCCGGAAGTCTGTCTCTGTACCCTCGATTGCGAAGAACAGTCAATGTGCTGCCCGGATTACGCCGAGTATTGTGTTCTAGGTGAGTGGATTGAATCGATGTGATTTTTTTCTTTTTTCACGTATCTCATCTTCCCTCGATATTCTTTCCATCCCGATTTAAAATTAAATACGAATCGTTACAATTATAACAATCGCAAGCAGACTGTGCATATTTATTTATTCGAAGATACAAATATATAATACAATGCTTAAATAAAATAAATTTCCATCTTCAAAGTTTCCATTATTTTTTTTTATTACATTATTACATTTATCCTTTCTTTATTATTTAAAATATCGAATTACCAAGAGATTAAATAAATTTTATATCTTTTTTTTATATCTCTTAACAATTTTAAACAGACTATCTTAAGAGATATTTCAATTATATTATTCAGTATATATTTTTTTTAATTTTCTACAAATCGAAATAAAAAGCTCTGTTTACTTCCAACAACTTTCTTGATTAATAAAAAAAAAGAAAAGAAGCTTGCTTGAAAAAATACAGAATATAAGAAGAAAGAAGTTATAAAATTATCGTTTCCTCCGATTTCTATCGATTAACATCCGATCATTTATTATTTATCTTATTATCTTACATATATCTTATCATTTATTATCCACCTTAACGAAGCATTTTAATTAATAGCTGAGACCGAAGAGATGATCACAACAGAGCAGATCCCGACTACGAATCACGAAGGGGCAGTAGTTTCCGTTCCACCCGCGAAAAAGATCACGGTGACCGACGTGGCGACAGTGAGGACAGGTTTCTCGATAAATCCAAAGGACGATATCGATCCTGTCACGTTGAGGCCGTCCACCAGCACCACGTTGAAATCATCGTCCACGCGGAAAGTGGAGAAATCGATGAAAATTACCAAACCGCCTCGCACAACAACTACAACAACAACAACAACAACAACTACTACAAGAACAACAGCAAGAACAACAGCAAGAACAACAACAACTGTCGCAACAACGAAAATTGCACAGACAAAGGAGACGTCATTCGTTCGACCCACCACCATCACCGGAAGATACGGTTCGGTGAACGAGAAACCTGGTAACGTAATAAATTTTATTTTTACAATACATTTAATTGTCAAAGTTTGGTGACGAACTTTTCGAATTCGAATAGATGTTCGAGTTGGAGAAATAGAGATGAATGTGAAATGTTCGATCGTACTTGGAATTTAGATTGCGCTTCGGTTTGATCATGCTTCGGTTGTTTTATCACGGTGGTTAGTATTGTACGTTGTGTTTGAGCGTAGAATGGTTATTGCGGTACTTCACGGGTTGTTGTTTATTCGGGAATAGTTTATTTCGGTTTCATGCGTGGGTCGAAGGAGTATATAGAATAAAGAAAGAGTGATTATAATTTAAATAATTACTTAGGATAGATTTTATATATATATATTTATAATGCAATTTAATGTCAAAGATGATATTCATTAATTTCAAACTCTTTCTCATGCGTTAATAAAGAATGATAATAATTTGAAGAAGAGTTTGAGATTATAAAATGATGCTCTTAATACGTTCAGAGATTCGAATAAAAATTTATGTAACAATTCCTCCTCCACAGATTTGGATATGAGGAGGGAAGATCCTGAAGTACATAGGGCTTCGAAATTCAGCTTGCCAGGGATAATCGGTGTAGTGGTTGGAATTTTAACCGGAGTGGTGATTTCATTATTGGTCGCGACCATAATCGTCAGACGAAGAAAAACGTACAAACGTGGAACTAATGGATCGGCTCTCTCGGAGGATAGCGACGTTCGATTTTTAACGTCAGACGAGATTTTGGATTTCACGTTAGCCAGACCCAGTGACGAGACGTAAGAAATTCCTTTTTTTTTTATTTTTTTTATTTTTTATTATTATTATTAAGAGAGAAAGAGAGAAACTCGTGGAAAATGGGTTATGGACGATACGAAGAAGAAAAATTATTGAAACTTGCTCTGAAAGTTCCATGACTCGTGACTGTATGTAGGACGTACAAAATCTACTCTATTTCTGCAAAAGTATTTAAATATATTAAGTATTAGTTATTATATGTATTTAATAAGGAAATGAAAATAACGTAATCAGTGTTGATGTAAGATGTTAGATAAGGTCTCTTTTTCCATTATTTCCAATATGCGCTCTTGCTTTGGAAATGTTAAGCATGATATATTGATCAATTGATTTATTTTATTAATATCGTAGATATATTTTATACTGTGTATGATGATTCTTTTGATGAAAAAAATATGCAATGTATCGTATTACGATTGCTTCTTTTGGTTCTTTTTTTTTTTTCATATGATTTTGTTGTTTCTAATTAGCTTTCTTTTCTTCGAAATAAGAAATTTTATGCACCATTGACGATTTCGTAGTATACATTAGACTAAATCGACGATTTATTGATATTTGCAGCGATTAAGTATTGTATATAGTAATTTGTTATAACTGAAGAGTTGTATAAATGCGAAATAAACATTGATATTATTTAATTTCTGCTTCAATTCGTGCAATCCAATTCCCCGATATATTTATATTCAAACTTTATAATTGTATCCAAAATTCATTGAAACCAATAAATAACAATTTTATCTTTTAATAAAAATCGTAATACTTAAATCAACCAACATAATTTAAACAATTTAACCCACCCGAGCTTGATCTATTTATTTGAGACAACTCATCTATCACTTACCTTTAAAATATATTTTAAAATATATCTTACAAGTAATCGCACGTTGTTTCTCCCGCCTTCCTCATTCATTTTCATTCTTGAATTAACCTTTTCTATTTTTATAAATTCGCATCCCTTGGATCTGGAGATAGGCTTCGTTCCAAGGGAGGCGAAACGACAGTTCGGTGGACTGTAATTAAGCACGAGATAACGAAACGACACGCGGGGGTGGTTTTCACAAACGGGTCTGTGCTCGTGAAAACCACTCTTTAGATTCCCCCCTCCGGCCTTATCTGGTCACCTGGATGGTGTATCGATTCGTGCGAAAACGCCGGAGGACTGCACCGGAAACGAGAACGTTTCGGCCGAACGTTGCACACCCACACGGTCCGGAAATGGTAGACGCCGGTGGGCTAGGATAACGGGCCATACCTTGCGCCAACCGCATCGGTTGGTCTTTTCTCCGTAACTGATTGCGGAAAGGATCGTGATAACGGGGAAACTCGAAACTGCTTCCCTCTTCCCCGATATCTCCGTGAACAAAACGTAATTGACAAATTTATTTCTTCCTTCCGCGTATCGCGGATGCACTAACATCATCGTGATATTGTTTGCCTCTTCTTCACAGGCGTAATTCACGTTTTAACCTTTGTTTTAATCTTTTTTTTTTTAAGGTCTTTTTTTTTATAAATTAAATGCAAGAGCTTTTTTAATTTCTTTTTTTTTTGCTACTTTTTTTACTCTCGTGTTTTTTGAGCAAACTATTGATTATTTATTTATTTTTTTTTTAAAGATTTTTTACATTTTTAATTATTTATAATATTTCTTAGTTTTTTAATTTTTATAATTGATTATTTTGACGCAATAATACATGAATTTTGACTTTGTTTCTGGTTTTTATTTTTATTATTTTGTACTTCCATTGAGATTTTTTTCGTTTTTTCTATTTTTTCTTTATTTTACTTATATATTATATGTCTTTTTACAGTTTACATAGACGTGATGATAACTTTGATGATAATAAAATAATATTAAGTAATAATAAAATGAGGATTAAAGTCAAAAAATATTTTTATATATATATTTTTTATAAATTCCAATAGAGTTTATTAAAAAATTCGAAATCTTAGCATCTTCAACTTTTTGCGATAATTTCTATTTTATATCTTATACTTCTTCTTTATAGTCTCTATAGTTTCGAAGTAAAGGATCTTTTATGAAATTTTTTATTAAATTTTTTGAATTGTGTTTCAACATTTTTATGTCACACACTATTTTCTATTTTATAGAATTTTATCATCTAAAAAAACTCTGAAAAAACTTTACAAATTCAATATTACTTCTTTAGATTTTAGAAAAAAAAAAGTTTCTTATTACATATCCGTAGTAAAGAAAATGATGGATGTTTTTATTTTTTATATTTCCTTATCCTTCAACATTTCGCTTATTTCATAATTAATATAGATAATAATTAGTTTCAAGTATTTCTGGTATGGACGTGACATAAATAGATTTGCTATATCTCATGGAAACTTTTATAGAAAGTTTTTCACTTTTTATACTTTCAGTTCATCTTTCAGTTTTTTTATTTCTTTGTAATTAATGTAATAATGTTATCTGATTGGAAATTTTTATTTAAACTAATAATACTTTACAAATTAATATATATATTTATACAATAATACTTGTATATATATTCACTTTTTAAAAAATTCCTTTTCCTTGTCAATTTAAATTTTTTTTCACTTAATTTAATATTTATAAAAATATTTTAAAATTGTTGTTTCTATCAGAAAAAAAAAAGAAAAACAGTATCTTTGCATATTAATTATAATTTTTCGAAATATCACAAAGATTAGATATGATTAGAATATAAAAAAATGCGCATATCGGATTCGATGCATATCGATACGAAACGGACGGATAATTCGAGAAAACTCAAGAGAATTTCCGAGTTACTGGTGAAATACCAGCATTTACATTTGCCAAACAAAATTTACATTGTATCTCTCATCGAAATATTAATGTTACTCTCAGCTATCCCTGTTATACAGTTTCACGAAATAATATTGTTCGAGGAATGGTTTCAGAAAGTTTGAAGGTTCATTCTAATGGAGATATCAAAGATCAGATGAACTATGCATATTAAGATTTATTTTTAACAGAATTTTCAATAAAATATAAAATATAAAAATATATAAAAATATAAAAAAAATGTATAAGTTGAAAAAATGAATAAATCTTATTATTTAAAAAATTACAAATTTTTTTTATATTTTTATATATTTTTATATTTTTGTCGTATATACACATATTTTATATGTATTATTATATATTAGATCAATTATAATATTGGATAATTTTATATTTATAATTATTATATATTTATATATTGCGATATGTATTTTATTTTCCAGAGAAATTTTTTTTTCTTATATATTTTTTCCAATATTTCTGAAAATTTCTTCATTTTGAAACATTTCCATACAAAATTTCTTTACAATACTTTTCAAATAAATATTTTTGAATATTTCTTCATTTATAAACTATTGATGAATTCACGTTTCCCTATAAATTGATTAAAGATAGAAAAATTTGAACAGCCAACGCCATCTCGCGTTTGAACGCTGGAAGCTTCTATTTGTTACTAGCAATGTATAATATGTAAGGAGGTATATGCCACTAACTTTGGTTATGCGGCTCCTAATATCTCCACCATTTCGATGACGCAACATAGAAAATTAATTAATAACTAATTTTCTACAAAAAATCTATGCACTTTTAAGCTTGTATCTTAAAGCTGAGACTTCAAAGAAGTTTCTTATGTGTTTTTCAATTTTAATTTGGAATTATTTTCAATTTTTTATTAACGATCAAGACGTCGCATTGGATCGATATATTCGATATATTATACGTTTTTATTAATTTCTTATTACTGTGGGATTTATTTTTAAATATAAATATATACATTTGAAACGTCAATTTCTCCTCTATTTTCACATATAACTTTTATTCATATTTTTATCGTTATTTTAAAGAATAATTTTATTATCTATCATTCGATTACGAAGCGGGGATTTGCGACTGAAACACTCTCCATAATAATCGTTAATAAATAATTAATTAGAAAGAATTTTTTATTAAAATTGATACAAGAAACTTGTTTGAAGTTCTATCTTGAAGATTTAAGCTTAAAGGTACAGAACTTTTTAGCAGAAAATTAGTTATTATTAATTAATCTACGTTGCGTTACTCTTTAACGAAGATATTAGAAGCCATATTGGAATATCTTTGTCCTTCTCGCTCTTAGTCTCTTTCTCTGTGACGTCACGAATACCTCCTTGCATATTCTGCTATGCTAGTAACAAGTCGAAGCTTCCAGGATCCAAACGCGAGATGGCGCTGATTATCAAAACTTTTTAATCGCTATCTAACTTATCGACAATATGCATTATATTTACAATTTATTAGAAGTAAAGAAAGAAAAATAGGTAGATTAATTTTATGTTTAAAATGTGTAAAAAGAAATAATAAAGGAAATAATGAACATATACTTACGTGTATGTATTTATATTATATATTTTTTTATTTTTATATATTATATATATATTTTATATATATTTTTATATTTTTATTGTGTATATTTTCTATATATTTTCTATATATTTTTGTATACTGCAACTAATGAAATATAAATAAATATAAATAAATATGTCAAATTTAAAAAAAAAAAATTTTATATGCCACTTTCTTTCAAATTATATTCTCTTAATACAAAGTAAAATTTAATCAAACATTTTTTTTAACAATTAGAAAATCCGAAAAAAATTTCGTATGTTACAATTTTTTCAATTATTTTTTTGTTATACAATTTTAAAGAAATTTTTTTATTATTATTATTAAAAATCAATTTTGTATTAAAAGAATGTAACAAAATTTCCTGAAATTTTCAATATAACAATTTATTGAAATAATAATTTTTGTAAAATTATTGATATTGATATTAGTAGGAATTTTTTTTTATTTTATTTTTAAACTTGTTTCAACAATATATTAATTTATATTAATTTATCAGATTATGATTAAATGAATTAAATTAACATATTTAAAAAATTTCAATAATTTTATATATTCCGTAATAGATTAAAATATTACGACGAAAAAAAGATTTATAACATGATAATGAAAATTAAAGTTTTTTGTTAAGTACGCTATAATTTTTTGCTAACTTTCACAACGAGGAAATATTAAAAAAAATCTTCGTAATTTTCGTGATGAAATTTGATTACATACGCCACAACTTGCTATTAAAGCTTCGTTAAATGTATCGCGGCAATCGTTAAAAGTTTTTCCTATAAAAAATCATTAAAAAATATTTTCATTCAAGTATCAACATTCCTCTCTGATAAATATATTGTCGTGTAACAATTTCGAAGTTTTAATTAATAGAAATTATTATTTGTGCATTTACATTTCTAAATTATATTTTAGTTTACAATTAAAATGTGCCAAGGGAAGTAGAAATTCCTGTATTAAATATCGAAGTTGTCAAAAAAAACAAAAAAAAAAAAAATA